TGCTGCTGCCATCAACACCTTTGTTTATACATGTGTTGTGAATTGGCGCTATATACGGTAAATAAACCGAATTGACTTCTTAAATGACTTTCTTCCAATCTAAACAAAACATTCATGATTTGTGGCGAGGATGAAATCTAAATTCCAATCCCGATAATCCAGTTAATACTAGTCATACTGACTTGCTTTAGACATCGAAAATAAATAATTCTAGAAATCCCAATGTCTATTCATCAACAATATATTTCTATCAGTAGAAATATCGTTACATATATCCACTACTGATTATATGACAAGTTGAATTGGAATGTCATTTTTGATATCTAAAAGTAAAATCCTAAAGGGAAAACTGACATGATTTCTACTGTAAGGAAATATATTCAAGAAATCTGAAATTTCCACTTTAGATTGGAAAAATGTTGTTAAAGATTGAAATACATATTAATTCAAACTAATAAATGTCAATACAGCCTTTAATTGTTTGTTGTAACCGAAATATCAAAGGGGAAAACTGTTTACTGCTTGAATGGTGGTGTATCAATGGTGGTGTGGAGAAGCACATCTGGTGGCAAGTAAAGATAAAGTTTAAATGCATTTAAATAAGTAAGATCTTTGAGTCATCTCAGGGCTTCGATAGTTGGGAAATCTCCTACGTTGGATTAAGTTATTGATATAGGCCATATTAAGGCTGATTAAGTGTGTTAAGAAGTGCACTGACATTATGGTTAGGAATAAACAATCTAAATGGTAAAATGGCCTGTACTTATATAGCACTTTTTCAAGTCACAGGACTTGATCAAAGCTCTTTACACTACAATCAGTCATTCACACACACACTCACACACTGACGGTAGCCATTGTAGCCACAGCTGCACTGGAGCTCACTGACAGAAGCAAGACCGCCGTAAACTGGCACAACCACGACCACCACCACAACCAAAAGAAAATGAAGAGAAGGGCCCAAGCACAAAAAAACAACGACACTAACGCTTGAATCGACAACCCTCTGGTTGTAGGGCAAACTCCTTCATCCGACGCCACTGTCGCCTGCCCTACTCAGCTTAGGTAAGTTATTAAGTATCTTGTATATTTAATTTGGTTCCTCTGAACTTAGGGTTAGGGTGGGGGTCACGATTAGGATGTAGAATTTAACGGAAGTTAAAGGAAAGGCCCCACAACAATAGTGAGAGAAGTTTGTGTGTGTTGGGGGGATATGTCTGGGCATTCCTTAATAAGAACACATGAAACCTAGTTATAATTAATCTCAGTTTATGAGACTGATGATATGTAAACTATGTATGATTCAGTTTTATTGTTTGTAGGGCTGAAACAGTCGGATTAATCATGATTAATCGATCATAAACGTCCACTCATTTATGAATTAGTTAATAGTTAACTGGTGTACACTACAAAACATGCCTTTAGCTGACAAAGCAACCTACTTCATGATTATATCAAAATTGTAAAAAAAAATAAAAATATATATATATATATTTATATATATATATACATATATAAGTATTTTGCATTTAAGATAAAAAAAAAATCTTTTTTGTCTGACCGTATGCTTTATCAAGAGCTCATCAAGTGGAAAAGTTTTAGTTTCACCTTGTATAATTTTGTAAAAAATCTTCTTTAAGGAACCTTTGTCTATCCGATTATTAATCGATTAATCAAAAATGAACACAAGATTAATCAAGTCCTACCTAAACTTATATTGCCAGCAGAAAACCTGAGATCAGACTCGCACTTACAAACACCTCTTTGCCAAAAACCTGTCGGTCTTCATGGCTGAGAGGACAAAACAAAATGGAATAGAAATCACCTCTGGATGAATATTATAGATACAGACAGATAGTAATTTAACAGCATAGAATGAATAACGTCACCAAACCATCCCTGTAAGCGCTTAAATAGTCTCTTGCATGCCCAGCCTCACAAACATAGTCACTTTTTAATTCTGAAAACAATGCATAAAAAAATGTAATACACACAACTCTTCTTCATGACATTATTGTTGATATCATACCACGCTTTAAACCTCTTAATGCCAGTTTGATTTTCTTGCTTGACTGAATAAACTTCAGCCATGCCAGAAATTCACTCCTATGTCTTTAAACATGATTTTTCTTTTGATGGCGCCTACCTTGGCTTTATGGTTGGATTCATCCGTAGAGGAAACAGACCCAGGTCTATGTCTTTGCAATCAGGATTAAACTCAAGGGCTCCCGTGACATAAATTAGAAAGTAGTCCCAAAGCTCGGGTAACTTCTTGGAGGAGAGAATCATTAGGGTGGCTTTATTGTAGGGTTCTGTTAGCGAGGAGAGATAATGCTGAAAGCAGATGGGAGTTCTACAGAGAAGGGGTCACCCAGCAATGGTTTTCCGTCCCTCCAGCTTGCCTTTAAGCACTCCTGGCCGACCTAGCTTCAACTGTCCACTCAGCACCTACATTTAGCTGACAGTCTCCTCCCCAAGGGACAAAACACAAGCACAAATTGAACTCTCCAATCTGCCCTACCTCCACCATCAATCAAGTTTGACTCAATTTAACTGACGTTATTTGGGGATCTTTCTAATGATTGTATGAATTGTGATGTGGCCTTGAGAAGCAGCAAGCTTCAGCTTGGCTTCCAGCCCTCTGTTAACATATCCAAATGTCCCCTACAGTATTTCAGTCTTGTAAATAATGAAATTAAATTAAATTCCAAGTTTTTTCCAATGTAATTGAAATGAAAAACTTTGAGCCTAATGTTTATTAGTGGTAACCTCAGTCCAATTACTTTTCCTGATAATATTTACTTTAAATTAGGGATGCATTAATCAGTCAGCCAGAAAGGAGAGGTGGCAGGTCAAATACTGAAAAAAATCTAGTTTTGTTTTCCAAATAGATGCATTTAATTGCTAAGGGATACTTTTTTGAGTATAATAATTGATTGAAGGTCTTGAATATTGTTTGAATTCAGTAGAGATTCATTTTAAACTTCTATCACAGTCAAAATGTTTATTGGTTTATAGGTATTTGTGATTTTCTTTCTTTTTATTTATTCAGTTTTAAATGCCTGCCTGTTCACCATCCTCTAGGTGACAGCAGAATAATAATGCTGCACCCACGCTTGCTGTTGTACATCCCCAACAGAAGTAACCCCCCAACTGGGAACTCCCAATAAAGCTTTCCATCCTTCAGTGAACCTACCAGTAAATGAGCGACAGTCCATCGAAGCGCTCGAGCTCTCTCCCCCGCTGTTTCAGCAGCGACATATCCAGCTGTGGTCCAGTTGCTGTGGCTGCTGCTGCCGAGCAGGTCTCGGAGCGAAAGTCATGCGCTCCTGCCCCAGAGACGCATCAGTCCGCGCGCTCCTCAGCTGGCCCCGCGCTGTGAGGCAGAGTAGCAGCCGCGTGCCTGTTTGCGCGGACAGGATGTGTCAGCACTCATTCCCCTCCAAATCAATGCGACGGACACTGCTCTGCTCGGTAACGGGGACAGGGGCCACACGTGGGGCTTCTCGCTGCTGACTGACCGCAACCCGACAGCTCTGACAGCTCTCAGCAATGTGCGCACAGCAAGCCGAGCCTGACCCGCTCCTTGGAGACACGCGCCCCATGCTGCTGTCACACTGTTTGGGGAAACAGAGACAAAAAGAGACCAAATGCTGTCTTCTCTGTGGGTCTCTACTCTTGAACGACCAAAACAAACATCTAAAAACATGTTTTGATAGATTTAAAAAAATAAAGTATTGCTCTGTACATTGAACATATAAAATATTATACATTAATGAAATAAAACATGCCAATAAACAGACATGTTTCAGCTGAAATGGAAACTATTCCAACTTTATTAACAGGTGAGCCTACAACGATAAACCATGCTCCTTTATCTAGATAGGAAAAGTGTGATCTGAGAGTCCTCATCCTGCAAGATTTAGATAAGTCCCTGATCAGCATACCTAAAAGAAATGGCTAAATTATCTGAGTCATGTTCTCCATGGTACAACTTATCATCTAACCATTTGATTTAGATGTGTTGGAGCAGGGATGCATATAAAACATGCAGGACCAGGGTACAGGGTACAGGACCTGCCATACAGTCATGTTTTATGTTCTTATTGTTTATTTAATTGAATGCAGTTTATTCATATAGTGCCACTATTTCAATTCAATTAAATTTATTTATATAGTGCTAATTCACAACACATGTCATGTCAAGGCACTTTTCAATTCAACCTGATCCTCCAGTGAAATTTATTCAAAGTTTTCTATCTTAGGAAAACCAGTTGATTGCATCGACTCATTGACTCGAAGGCAATCCCTCACGCTAAGCAAGCTTGTGTCACAGTGTTGGTTCTGTTATGTTTTCTTTTGAGTATTCAGTTTTACTTTGCTCCATGTTTTCTAGTTTTATTGGTTTGATTCCTATTTTGTTATTTTTTCTGGTTATATTTCAGTTTTGAGGTTTTTATTTGTTGCCCACTGTTGCCCTCTTGTGTTGGTCTCCTTTTCCCTATCTCCTTTCCAGTCTGCTTCGTTCACACCTGCTCCCAATCAGCTCATTACTCCTCTTTGTTCAGTCTCCCATAAATACTGCAGTTCCTCAGTGCTGGTTCCTCGTCTTACCTCATCTTACCCTGGCTCCTCATGATTGTTTTCCCTTCATCTCTCCATGGTTTTGGTTGTTTGACATTTTTCATGTTGGATTTTTGGATTCCTGCCTCAGTTGTTTGTGAACATCTCATTCAATCTACAAAAACTCACCTCTGCCTCTCTGCATTTGGGTCCTCAAACCTCAACAAAACCCTAACAGCTTGTAGCGACAGTGGAGAGGAAAAACTCCTTTTTAAACAGAATAAACCTCCAGCAGAGCTAGGCTTAGTGTGAGCGGCCATCTGCAGAAGCCGACTGGGATTCAAAAAGACAGAAGCAGAGACAGAAAAAGAAGCAGAGATAAAAAAGGAAACTGTAAAACAGCTCCACAGGGGTCTACGTCCAGGAAACATACAGTCAGGCAGACGAGCTCCAGGCCAGCTCCCATGTCAGAGGATGAAGAGAGCACATCCAGCTAGTCACAGACATAGAAACAGGACTACACTGAAAAACAGGCCGATTTCCAATTTCCAACATCTATAAACAAAGGTGTTGATGGCAGCGGCAATGCTTATATTTCTCTCCAGGATGGAATCATAGTGTTAGCATAGTGTTAGAGATTGANTCCAACATCTATAAACAAAGGTGTTGATGGCAGCGGCAATGCTTATATTTCTCTCCAGGATGGAATCATAGTGTTAGCATAGTGTTAGAGATTGAACTAACAAATGCTGCAGAGTGGGAGAATAGAGATAGAATGAAGCAGAATGATGAAAAAGGGGTCCCTATGCCCTCAACCAGTATAAGCCTATAGCAGCATGATATATCTCAAGCCACTTTACAGAGACAATACAGTTAGATTGGTTAAAAGTTACTGCCAAGTAAAGCCAGTTGATTACATCCTGTCTTTGATGGTTCTACAACATTTTTACTGGGGTGGCCAAGGGGTGATTAAGGGATTTCCAACGGTGGGTAACATTAGCATTGTGCCTGACAGCATGTGCATTTTTTTTATACCAAGAAAATTAAATCAATATATGCTCAAATAAATACATTATTGTAAAAATACATGTTCTGGTTACATAAAATACAAAGCAACACCTTAAGAATTATAAATAATGCACTGGACCTCTAAATAAACCAAGTATCTGTCATACAAGTTGTCAAAGAGAGTGGTAAGACGGTTGGTAAAAAATCCACTCATATGTTCCAAACCGCAATAAAGATCTTAAAAGAACAATGTATTTGAGTATTTTATTTTTCACACTACGACTTGGAAATATAGGTAATACAGAGTGTTACCCTGTTGGACTCCGACAGGGCTGCCCTCTGTCATCCGTCCTGTTCATAACTTTTATGGACAGGATTTCTAGATGCAGCCAAGGACCGGAGGGGGTCTGGTTTGGGGAACAGC